AAGCCATGTAAAGCAAGCCGATGTACGGCTGATTTCAGCTGAGGTACGGCTGAAATCAGCCGTACCAGCCTGAAGTGCATAGCCGAACATGGGATGGGCAAGGTTTGGGTGAACTCATAAAGGGCTGCCTGTTATTTTATTAAATGTCCTGATAATATATGAGTTCAATGCAGTTTAGCAATTAAAATGTATTACTTCTGGCAGTTAACACATTATGGTTTCTAAAGAAGCAAAGACTGTTCACTTAGGAAATGCAATGCCCACTTTCAAAAGTATGTTCACATTGCAAACCAAATGATCATAAATATACTGAACCTGTGTTCACTTTAAATAACCAATCACATGCAAGGGGAAAAAAAAAATCAGGATTTTTGGCAGCAAATGATTGGTTGATTGAAATGAAAACCATTTCATGTTGTTAACCTAAGCTCAGTGAACATTCAGCAACGTGATCAGTCTCATTACTTTAATAAGTGAACCCCGTCAAATCAAACAGGTAAGCAAAGCAAGTGTCTTCTTTGTTCTCATTGTTTCTTTACAGTTACAGTATAGCAAACCTGTAATTACAGCTTTTAAGGTAAGGGGCTACTGTATATTTGCAGGTGTCTCTTGCTATATTAGAAGAGCTTGGGTGTTTTCAAATTACAATGATCTTTTACATGTATCAGAAAATTAATTTCACCACTGAGCACACAATAGTTCAGTTTAGTTTGTGGCATGGATTTCAGGCACCTGTACCCTCCCTTATGGTGGTTGAAATGAGTGAAGAGATCATAATACAAATCAAGCTACAACAAGCAAGATTAAGTGGACTTTTTCACTGTTAATATCTTCTGAATGGTCGTTTCATGCCAGCATGCCTTCTTGTCTTAATTCTCTTCTCCTTTTTTCTTTTTTAGAGTAAGTTGTTATATACAAATAACTGATTTACAAACTCTTTTTTAAATAAAAGCATACAGAAAAGAAAACAATACTGAGCTTCAGTAGCTAGAAATAAAACGGCTTGTGTTGCCTTAGCTGTGTAGTTTTCAGACATCAGATCTGCCCTGGGAAGGGAGAGTTGAATAACTAGTTCTTCATTCTGCCTGTTAAGGAGTAATACAGACAGTTCTAAATTTAGCCACTGTTAATTAAGAGCTTTATTTAAAATGTAGTATATTTATATCTTGCTTTAGCTCTTTGTTTGGGAAACATATGTTTAACTTTAAAACAGAACTCCAGGCAAATAAAATCTTAACCCTTGCAGTGGGGCTACCTCCGCACTGCAAAGGGTTAAGTGCTTGTTTTGTCTAGGGAGCTAAATAACAAAGTTATTCTCACTCAAACCATGATCACAGCTTGCTTTTTAGACTGGTCCCTTTAACCCCCAGCGATCCAAGGTCCTGTGAGTCATTATGTTCTATACAGTGTATAGAACATGATGACACCGAGGGAAATTCCACCGCTGGAGCAGAGGAGGAGACAAGCCGGAGAGAGCACTGTAGGAGCCAGCCAGGATTGCAGTTTAGGTGAGTATAACTTACTTACTTAAGCTTCCTAAACAAAATCAGCACTTAACCCGTGCAGCCCAACTACAAGGGTTAAGGTTTGATTTGCTCTGAGTTCTTCTTTAATTTTCTAACTTGTCACATATGAAAGGAAAACATATGATGGTAGTCAGCAGGACTTTTTTCAGTTCAAAGAAGTAAAAATGGGTTTATTTGGCCAACCCACAGAGGCTTGTTCTGGCACACTAAGTAGATTGTTTAAAAGTGAAGAATACACCTGGCTATTTATATCGCAAGTAATATTGGTGTAGATTATTCATCCAGGGTATAGCCGATTGCCTTAGTCAATCAGGAAGCATTTTCCTTCCCTGTTGAAGAAAATTGGACTATACTTTGAGAGTTTTTGCCTTCTTCTGGAACAACTGTGGGTTAAGGGTTCTGTGGATGGTTTTAATTCATTTATTTACTTTTCTATTGGCTGAACTTAATGTTTTTTTATAAAATATGTAACTAAGTAACATTTTGGTGGGACATATCCATGCTAAAAAAGGTCTGTTGTGCAATTATTCATGGTCATTTGTTTAATTTTTGGAGTGCACCCAGGTTTTTGACTCCTTGTGGTATATATTTATTAAAATCCGTAACAATCTATTTTATGTGTTGTAGTTATCAGTGATGTGGTACAATCTCTCACATGAAAAGAAGCTCTCTGCAATTTGCTGGACTGTAATTTATTTATTTTGCACCAATGTCCATTGTGAAGATGATGACATTGTTCTGACCAAAGATGGCAAAGTAAGAGGGATTCAGATACCAGTGTTTTCTAAGACTATCACAGCATTCCTTGGAATACCTTATGGAGAACCCCCAGTTGGAGCTCTGAGATTTAAAAGACCGGAACCTGTCAAATCATGGACTGAAATATGGATCGCCACCAAATATGGAAACACTTGTTATCAGTATGTTGACCAAACATTCCCTGGTTTTTCTGGTGCTGAAATGTGGAATCCTAATACTGACCTAAGTGAAGACTGCCTTTACCTTAATATATGGATACCTAGTCCAAAGCCAAGAAATGCCAGTGTCATGGTATGGATATATGGTGGTGGTTTTGAAACCGGAACAGGCTCTTTAGATGTTTATGATGGGAAGTTTATGGCCCGCAATGAACGTGTCATTGTCGTTTCACTCAACTACAGAGTGGGTGCATTGGGATTTCTTGCTTTCCCAGGTAACTCTGAGGCTCCAGGGAATGTTGGTTTGTTTGATCAAAGACTGGCTCTTAAGTGGGTTCATGAGAATATTGCAGCATTTGGTGGGAACCCTAGAAGCATAACACTTTTTGGAGAAAGTGCTGGAGGAGCATCGGTCAGTTATCACCTGCTTTCTCCTAAAAGTTATCCATACTTCACAAGAGCTATTATGCAGAGTGGTACTGCTAATGCCCCTTGGGCAGTTGTGAGTAGTGCAGCAGCACAGACTCGAGCACTTACATTAGCAAACCTATTAAGCTGTTCCTTCAGAAATGAAACTGAAATAATTGCTTGTCTTCGGAGTAAGACTCCTCAAGAAATAATTGAAAAGTCACTTTCAGTTCTAACACAGAGATCATTAATAGAAATTAATTTTCTTCCAACGGTGGATGGAGATTTTCTCATCGATTTTCCTGAACATCTATTACAACTCGGACAACTTAAAAAGAATACACAAATATTAACTGGTGTTAATAAAGATGAGGGGTCATATTTCTTAGTGTATCAACTGCCTGGGTTCAGCAAGGATCATGAAAGTTTGTTAAATCGGACTCAGTTTCAAGACAGTGTAAAACTGGCGTTTCCAAAAGCCACTGAACTTGCAATAGACTCTATCCTTTTTCATTATACAAACTGGGAAGATGAACAGAATCCCACTCACAATCGAAATGCAATGGATGATATTGTGGGAGATTACAATTTTATATGTCCGCTGCTGGAATTCACAAACAGAAATGCTGAACTTGGAAACACAGCTTATGTGTACTTCTTCAGTCACAGATCTTCTAAGATGGCATGGCCAGGTTGGATGGGAGTAGTTCACGGCTATGAGATTGAATTTGTATTTGGAATCCCATTATACAGACGACTTAATTATACAAAAGAGGAAGAAATTCTGAGCAGAAACATAATGAGATATTGGGCGAACTTTGCAAAAACTGGGTAAGCTCTTTTTCCATTAAATATATAAAAAGTACTTTTTAAATAATTTATTAAACACATTGTTAAAGTCTTACATATTATGTTTTTGAAAAACAAACTTTTCAGTGATAAGATCTTAACACTTAAGGGACTACTTATAAACTTTTTTACACAGGATTCAAACAATTTTCACCCAAATTTCCCATCATTTTTGCTCAATTGACAAAATATGTGAATCTTGGGTTAAGGTTGAGTGAATCTTGGGTGAAAGCATTTAAAAATAGACCATTAGTATACCTTTAAAGATGTATCTGTATATATGCTCTACATGAACAACCACAAATAGTGTGAAAAGCCACAGCTGTTCTAAATGAGTGTAAATATCGTTTCAGGTTTCGCCCCATCTTACATATTTACATTTCTGGGGTATGTCCTTGCTAACAGTTACTCTAAGACTACTTTCATTGTTTTTTTGCACTCAAGTTTATGACTTACTTACGTATTTCTGCTACTTTAAAATATTTCATAAAGAAAGGTTTACTGAGTCAGGCTTACTCATCAAAGAAAATAAATAGGCAATGTTAATATGCAAAAGTGCAGCAACCAAAATGACACATGCATAATTTTTTTGCTGATCTTATTCTAGCAAACTAGCATCCGTTGCATTTTGGTGGCTGCTAACAGGCAAAATATCCATTCCCCTATGCTAGGCAAATAGAAACAATTGTTCTTTGTGCTCAACCTTCTTTAAAGACTTTAGGCAGCCAGTAGATTATCTCCCTGCATCCATGCAATGTAGCTTGCAGTGCCTCAGCCCCATCACATGGGGGTGTGGCATAGCCATATATACGTTTCAGTTTGCTCAGCAAATCTAAACCTGGTCAGAAATTTTAGTCAGCATGGCAGTAGATTACTGAAACAGGGTAGTATGGGGAAGGTAAGTATAATCTCCTTACAGTCCCTCCTATAAAAGGGAACCTGTTACTTTGTCCTTTACTCAGAAGAGATCACTTATGCAAGTGTGTATGGTAACATGTTAAGAAGTACTAAAATAACCTTAAAAGAGAACTATGGTCCAACTTTTTCCAGCCATAGTTCTCTTTAGGGTCACAGGAGGACCCAAAACTCAGCATATAGCAGACAGTCCACCCCACTGCCTGATTGACAGCTGTCTCTGCCTCTCTAGAGGCAGAGCCAGCTGTCCCTGCCCCTCCCTCATCTGTCCCTCCAGCTAATCCTGGAGGTATGAAGAGGGGAGGGGGAAATCCCTGCAGGGAATGGTGACTGACAGTCTTTGCTATCTGCAGGGAGAAGATCATGAACTGAGCAATCAGCTGTATGTGTGATCGCTCAGTTCTCGATCAATATAAACTAACAATAATGCTATACAAAAAGTTCTGACCTTGGTAAAAGGTGTATTCCATTTTAACAAGTAGACCATTGGGTTGGGATTCTCTCTACAGAAACACTCAATCTCGCAACTCTGTAACTAATTGCACTTGCACGGATACTTGCAGACCCGGATTTCTTCTGCAACACTTTAGGTGAAAGATATATTTGCCTAAAAAAGATTATTGAATTGCAAAGCTATATATGCATTAATATACGGTACATTCCTTCCTACGTTCTGAGATGAGAAAGTAGCAAGGAGAAAGGGACACCTTCAATCACAAAGTATTTAGGCAATGGACACACACATGCCATGCCCCAATTATGTGAAGAATTAAGAATTTATTTGCCAAAAATGACTTTTTATCCACAGAATTGTTCTTTTCTTAACCATTACTTTTCCTTTATACTGGCAAATATTAAGTAAATACCGAACTAGATAAGTAAGAAATCAGTGAGGTTTTAGTGCAGAATAACACTTTTGGTAGTTAGATAGGATACTCTCATACGCATCTGTACTTCATAACAAAAAAAAAACTGAAGAGGAAAGAAGGGTAGATTTGGTTTCAAATCAGGGACAGTCCCTTCAAATGAGGGACAGTTGGTAGGTATGAATATACAAAGGTTTGCATCTACAATACAAAATAGCATCACAAGGGTCATGTGTAGCTTTATATAGAAGCAGACACTGAATTTTCACTTCAAACAAATGTGCAGCTTAGAAAAACATTTTCGTCTGAGAAAGCTATGTCTAGCATCTAGAGGGAAGAAATCGCAAAATTAGCTGTGAGCTACTAGTGAATTTCAGGACTCACTTTAAATTGGTTCTGATTTACAAAAAAAATAAGGACTATGCATGTATGCTGTTGCTTCGATGCCCCAGAGAGCCAGGTCTAACAAACTAATCATATTCTGACAGTATTTACTATACTGAAAGAGACACACACACAACAGTGGCAGGGTACATACAGCTCCAGCATCTGAATATATGCTAGCTAAGTGCTGCTGTATCTAGAATGATTGTAGAATTTTATTTACTGTTTTGTGGCTGTCTTACATAAGTTAGCTATTTTGCATGTACTATTTGGAACAGAATGAAGTGTACTCCCATATCACTACAGGTCACTGAAAAAAAAAATACAGAAATAAAAAAAAAGCCATAGTGCATGCTCTGCAGAGGTTACTGTATTGTGTGTTCATTAAAACAAACTTGACCATTCATTGCATTTTTTCATTTCCTCCCTCCTCTCACTAGCTAAAAAATTTTATGTTTTGTGACCTGTAAAAAGTATAATTTAGCTACTTCATGCCATGCATCCCAGGTGGCTGCAGATGGGTAAGTGCTGAAGTATTGCAAGATTCCCTGCCTCATGTGAAATATTGCAATACTTTGGCATTTACAAACCTGCAGCTTCCTTGGATACGTAACATGAATATCTCACTCTTACCTAGGCAAAAAGAAAGGAAATGAAAAGGGGGAAGGAGTAAAATCAAATTATATAATGTACAGGTAAAAAAGACATGAGAATTCTTAGCAGTTGTATAATAGAAAGGAGGGAGGAAAAAAGTACAGTAAGTGGTGCAAGGTCTGCTTTAAAGTATATCTAAACCCAAATATTTCTGTTTAGTTTGAAAAATAGTAGGGAGGGCTTTGATTATTTGTCAAATTTTAACCACCTTGCTTACAGAGATATTTTGTAAATGTTTTGCCACGTGTTAAAATCTGCATTTTTGGGGGAGTGGTTTGCTATGCACACAGAATGGATGCATGCTAAAAAAAATCCCCTTGCAGCTCTTACTGCCACTAGAATGCTACAAGATGGGCACAATTACAAAAGGGACCCCAGATGCAAAGTCCCAGAAAGATCTAGCAGCCTCACAGGCAAAGGGGATACCTTATTTATTTAAAGCACATACATGGGATCCTTTGGACTCACAGCCTCTCAAGATGATATCACTGCCTGCAGGGACACATCTAGAGAGAATGCAAACCTTTTATTTGAATACAACCATACAGCTGAACCAAACACACCAAACAACTTCCTACTTTGGCAGACATAAACTGTATTCATAAAGACTTTAAAAACATCTGCATTTTTGGCAAAAAATTCTTAAAACCCCCCAAAATTATACAGTATATTTTCTGAAGCAGAGGCTCTTTAGAATCCAAAATAGTAGTTGCATTAGAACAGAGGGGAAGATAATTTGTGTTCACACCTAGGCGTTTTGATACTCAAAGCTAAGCGGGACAAAATTCTCAACACTGGAAATGGTCCCTGTTCACACCTGACCTTTTTCTTGTAAGCTTTAAAACACTGAACACTGAAAAAAGTACATGGACATTTTTTGGGCAGATTACAATGCATTTGGCCCCATAGACTTCAATGGAAATGCGTGGAAAAGGCGCAACACAAGCATTTTGCACATTTCTGTATTGCACATTGACCGCAGTGTCTTTCAATCTGGCCCACTAAAATGCACGTCTTCATGTGCACACCATTGACTTGTGTAAAAATGTGCAAAACGCACAATAATGGGTTAAACACGCTAGTTGCTAATGTGCGCAAAAACGCTGATGCTGAGGTGTGAACGGAGCATATACATTAGCAAAATTATTGTATTGTCCGATTCACCCTAATGTGTAGTGTCAGAGATGGTTATAACACTCTGTCATTTGGCACTTCTGAAGTAGAATGGTGAATGGCTTCCAACCTTCCAGAGGAGTATGGTTCACCCACAGAAATGGGACCATGGCACATATGTGCAGTAGAAAAATGAACTGTCTGGGGCATTTTCTTTTCAAAATTCAGTGCCAGGCAGGTCTGTAAAGTAAAGATCTCTGGAATGCAAGGTAAGTTTTTTTTAACAGATAAACTGCACTCAAGGGCGTGGTGGGTTATTTAAAGTGCAACTTTACTAAAGATTAAGTTGTTCTTTAAAAATCCAATGGGTTGCTCTTTGCAGTAGCTCAGCAATTGCTTCAATTTTCTTAACACTGCTTCATTTTTTGCTGTTGTATAAACATTCTTCAAGTTTGTAAGAACACAAATGCCCATGAGAGAGTTTCCATGCTAAATGCATATGCTAGAGTTGCAGGAGTTCAGTTAAATGACATTTTAAAAGACGCAGGGAGTTCAGGAACAACACGCTACTTTATAAAGATAATATAAACAAGATAATTACATATATTAAGCAGGCACAACATGAGATTTTGTTTTTGTTATTGAACTGTAAAATTATGTGTCATGGAAAATGCTGTTCACGGGAAAGCACTCACTTTCCTGTGAACAGGACTAACCTTATGAAACTGTTGCAATGCTAGAAAGGTAATTTATGCATTTATTTTCACTATTAGATAGAGAGAAGTAGAGAGTAGTAAGAACAAACACATTACTTTGCATGAATCTGTGAGTTATAAGTAAAGTGTTAATAAAAGATAGCCAGGTTTAAATAATTTTATTTCATTTTTTTCTACAAGTGCAGCATATTGAGTGGCATGTTACTGAGCATGCAGACGTGTTTATGGAAGCACAGCTTCAGTAGGAATAAGCCCACACAAATGTAGGAAATACTCTAGAAACTCAAAAGGGCTAATCTATTAAAATAATAATTTCACACTGCCCTTTGAGTGG